CCCACACCTTGCTGCTAGCTACAGTGGGACCTGCAGGTCTACGGGAGACAAATGTGATTTCAGTTTTCGCGATGCCTGAGAAACGTCGTGGCAGGTTCATATAGTCATAGTATGATTATAGCGACTCACATAGGGATATAACAATCCATAAAGTTTACGGGATTTTATTTATAAAACCTAAATGGGTTTTATGTCGATTTAAAATCACTTTTTATCTCAATGAGTACAAAATATTACTGTACACTTTTGGTTTTGGTAGTTATGACTACACATCATTTGAAACCACATTTATACCTTTAAGTATGGTCAATACTTGTTATTTCTCGGTCCTCAGATTTAGGACTACATATACATAAAGTATTAACAAACATGAGAACATATGGAAATTTCATTTAATTCAAACGCGTCAAATGTCCATTTAAACACATAACATTTTCTATTAGTAAGAAAGGTTACTTATACATTTTGGTCTTTGGTCATAAGACTACATTACACAGATTTTAAAGAAAATATCGGATTATCTGGATACATATTCTAACGCTTTTACAAGGAAAACGGTTTACTTTTCTAACGAAATCTCTTATGAACTCACCAACCTTTGTGTTGACACTTTTCAAAACTACTTGTATTCTCAGGAATTCAGTGAAAACAGGAAATCAACAACGTTTTGAGGATGGGACGATAAATCGTCAAACAGTTCATTTTGTATCATAATGTAATTGATGTGAATCATGTAAACATGTGCTTTGATGTAACATTTTCAATTATATTTGTGATGGTTGTATTTACTTTGAGCACTATTATACTCATTGTTGTGATACTCTACATGAAGTCCTCCACCCCCGGACGTTTCCGCCATCCTTGGTTTGGGGGTGTGACAAAAACAGATAAAAACCAATTTAAATATTTGCTTATTTTAGATTAATTTTGGTAGTTAAATTAGTTAATTAAATCCATTCCCTGTAATCAACATCCGACTTACCTAAACTATTCTATAATTCGACTAGGTACACTACATAGGTGCATTTAAGCTTGTTAAGTTCGTTATGTTATAAATTTAAAACTAGTAGGTACTTTTTTGCACATCAATTCTAGACATAGCTTGTGGGCTTGGGAGCAATCCAAAAATGAGTTGAGGGCCCGAATGGCATGCCAAAATCATATTGTGGGCTTGGGGGTAATCCAGACCTATACTGAGGACCTTGTAGGGGTATTCCAGACATAGGCTGGGGACCCAATATATACTGTTATATGTATGTGTGTGATTGGTACTTTGGGGGAAGCCACTAAGCTTTAACTTAAATTTTTTTTTTTATTGTTTCAGGTACTTCATAGGATCGTGGGAATTCGAAGGCATGATTGTGCACAACATCCTGTTTTATGTCATTGGGTCTTGGGAAAACTCTGATTATGAAATAATGGTTTTGAAACAATGACACTTTTTGTAGACAATGTTGATTAATGGTTGGTTTTGAAAATTTTAAATGTATTTTGATTTTTATTTGGTGTGTTACACACAAAATCATCCATGCCCTAACATAATCGTTAGTGAGTTTCACTCCACCTCCATGATTACAACCCTCTCACATGGCTTCAATCATTGGCGACTTCACTCTGCCTCTGCCTACCAAGTACCAACATCACTAATTCACAAGTTTCAATCATTGATCTCCGCCTAACTTCTATCATCAGATTTCTTGAAACCATTGTCTCCGTACAAGCATCAATCATCTTGCTGAATCAAACCAAAAACAATCCTAAAACTCTCCAAATTCATGGTGGTGGCAGAAAGAGTGAACTCCGGTGACCTTCAAGATTTTATCATAACTAAAATATGATGAATTGATCAAAATTCAAGACTATTTACATGTCACATTTTTATTCAAAAATAACATTAAAGATTAGAAACCCTTATTCAAGATTACTTAAATATCACATCTTTGATTTAAACCAGTGAAGAAGAAACTACAGGGTTACCAATAATATGTTTTGTTTTGATGGAAACTTCAATCTCTTTTATACAAGTATAACTCTAGGTCTTACATCCGATTAATGGAAACTCCAATATTTTTAACTTCTATTCTTTTACTCTTTTTCAAAAAATTTCCTCATACTTTTCAAGATTGACCACTAAAAAGATTATGAAGAAATTAAGGGGAAAAGGTTGGAAGTAAGATGAGAAGTGTGTGTAAGTAGTTGAATTGAATACTAAATAATTTTAAATCGATGAGTAAATTGGAGAAGAGAGTAGATGAAACGTAAAGAAAGGAGTAGATGTGGGGTAGGTGTTTTTTTTGGTAAATTGCATTTAAACATAAATAAAGGTAAAATAAATAAAAAGGATAAAAGGGTCTTTGTACATGGACCATGACCAACTATGTAAGTTTTAGAAACCATAAGGATTATATTCGTCAAAATAAAATTAACATGGACTAAATTTGTAACATTTGATAAACCACAAGGACAATTTATGTATTTTTGTCTACATTTAATGTGTATCTGTGTAGGATGTATAAAGCAAAATAAATGATAACCAACAAATTGTGTTAGACGGGTCGATATGGGGTCGTTGTGCCTCGTTATGGTCTATGTGGCAAGGCTTTAATGTCGTTACCACAATGGGAACACCGCCCCCCTTCTCGTTATGTGGCCATTTGTTGGCGTTTTAACGAACGATAATGCACATTTTTTTTCCTCCATTTGACCGTTTTTCAACGGTAACATTTAAAAAAAGAAACTTATTTACCTATAAATTCATGCTATTATCTATAAATTTAATCACCACTTTTCTCTCTATTCCATATACTTTCAATACATTTCGAAAAAAATAAATATGTTTGATGATAATGATGATGATGATATGTTCATCTCTATGATGTGCGAGTATTGCATGAACGTCCTACTACAACCAAATCCAGCTTCTCTATTAATCAGACGTGCGATATTAAACAAAGATCGCAAAGAGTGGCACAAACGTCTAATTCACGATTATTTTGTGGATAATTGTATCTACTAACCACGCGATTTCAACAGAAGTTTTTGTTTGCAGCAAAATGTTTTTGTTTGAATAGCCAACGCATTGGAAAGCAGGTATTGTTTCTTTCAAATATAGCTTTTACATTATTTAAATACATTGTTTCTTTCAAATATAGTTTTTATAGATTAAATATACGTTTATGTATGGATTTTTCCAAATGAAATATTATGCTAGAGGTAAGCGAGGATTCACATTGTTACAAAAATGTGTTGCTGCAATTAAGCTTATGGCAATGGGAGAGTCGCCTGATTCGATTGATGATTATATGAGAATGTCAGAGAGAACTCCAAGAGAAAGTTTATATATATTGGCGAGGGGTGTTGTCAAAACCTTCAATGATGTTTATTTGCGTAAACATTCGTTAAATGATATACAACAACTATATGTGCTGTATGAAGAAAAACATGGTTTTCCGGGTATGATTGGAAGCATTGATTGCACACACTAGAACTGGAGAAATTATCTCGTGACGTGGAAAGACCAGTACGCAAGTGGTCATTATGGAACACCTTCGTTAGTATTAGAGGCTGTTGCGTCTCAAGATTTATGGATTCGACATGCATTTTTCGGGGTTGCAGGTTCGAACAACGTCGTGAACATTTTTGATCAGTTACCAATATTCGACAATATTTTGTCAGGAAAGGCACCAAATGCTCTTTTCACAGTGAATGGAAATGATTATAAGTTTGGGTATTACCTTACGGATTGAATATATCCAACATATTACACATTCATGAAGATATTTCGACACCCAGTAACACCAAGACACAAAAGTTTCAAGAGAAAACAAGGAGCACGTTAGGATGTGGAACGTGTTTCAGGAGTTCTAAAGTCGAAATGGCATATAGTTGAACATGCAGCACGACCATATCACTTATACGTTCTATAAGATTTTATGTATGCATGTATCATAATACATAACACGGTGGTTGAAGATAAAGGACGAAACATTACAGAGTATTCGACTTTGGAGCCCAGACACATGCAATTTCAACTCGGGACAACGGAATATTTACATAGTGTCGTAGATATTCAAGACGCACGAAAACGCAGACAACTTCGAAAAGATTTGGTTGATTTTATCTACGATGGAAATGAAGATGTATAAATTAGGGACAAAATGTAATTTTTTTCAAATGTAATTTTTTTGTAATGTTTTTAAAATGTTATGTTTAATTAAAAATAGATTTTATTTAAATAACATGTTTAATTAATTTTGTTTAAAAAATAAAAATTAAATTAAAAAAAGAAAAAAAAAAGAAAAAAGAAATAATAACACAGAATGTTATAACTAGTTGCTCATTTATTCTATATTTATTGTATTTGGTGTTATACACTGAGATAACAACATTTGAATGTGCCTACACCTATTGGTCTTAAAGTTGCAAATTAAAAAATATAATTTGTATCAATATCTAACCTAATAAATGAAAATAATTTATGTCATAGGTATGTTCTCCATTTATTTATCACATGTAATTTTCTTAGATATTAAGGATTTTTTATTTTCCACATGTCATTTTCTGTTTTTTTTTTCATATTTCTTAAATTAAAAATTTAGGAACTTAATACATAGTTTATATATAGTTTATATATGTAAGGTAATTAATTATATTAAACTCTAAGAATAATTGTTATACAAACTTTAATTTCCTTCTTTTTTTTAATTCCATGCTAATATGCATATGTTAGTCACTAAGTTCTATTAACAATTCCAAAATTATATAATATTAAAGGAAATGATTTCACATTATAATATTAAAGGAAATGATTTCACATTATACAAATTTCAATATTTCTGGTATTGTAAAAAATATATAACTTTACAATTTTTTATATTAATTTTTTTTAAACCCCATGTAATACATACTTCCTACGCCTAGTAAAAAGTATATAACAAAATATCTAATCAATAAACCATACAACTTTTCATCCTAAGATACATAAAAAAAAATGATATTTTCCTATAGAATCTGTTTTGTTCTTTATCATTCGAGAAAAATAATCTTGTTTATTAAGAATTCAAAAGGGAAATCACGTTTGTGGCCACAGAAACTCACAAGTGTACAAAGACAACACAAATTTCTTATCCTCACATCTGCCATTGCCATTGGCTTTCTAATTTCCTCCATCCAATTCACAAATATCCATTCCCTTCAACATCGCATTTCTTCTTCACTCATAGTATATCTTCCCTTTCTCTTATCCCTCTTCACTCTTCATTTTGTTCGATCACCATGGCTTCTGCAGTAAGTGCCATAGTCTCCCTCCCATCTTCTAAATCCGCTGCCATTTCACCAAGAACATCCCTCATCACCCAAGAACGAGTCTCCTTCACAAAGGTATCTTAATTTCACTCTCTTCTTCTACATTCCATCTTGGTTTTTCATATTCTATGTTAAAGTTCTAGTTTTTATACTTTCTCTGAAAATGGGTTTTTGTCTTTCTTCATGTTTAGGTGCCATATTACAAGAATGCGTCATCAAATGTTAAGTCGCTATCAATTAGAGCTCAAGTTACGACAGAAGCTCCTGCTAAAGTAGAGAAAATTTCAAAGAAACAAGAAGAAGGTGTAGTTACAAATAAATATCGCCCAAAGGAACCTTACGTTGGTAGGTGTCTTCTCAACACCAAGATCACCGGCGACGATGCTCCTGGTGAAACTTGGCACATGGTGTTCACCACCGAAGGTATGATCGATCCAAATTTGAAATGGGTTATCATCAAACTTTCTTGATCAATACAAAAAGATTATCTTTTAGTAGTTAAAGATTCAAACTTTATATAATATGTTCTTATATTCTTGGAGTGAAATCAAGATTGGTTTATTGTTCGATTTGATTAGGTGAGATCCCATATAAAGAAGGACAATCCATTGGTGTAATTCCCGATGGAATTGACCCCAAGAATGGAAAGCCACACAAATTGAGATTGTATTCCATTGCGAGTAGTGCTCTTGGTGACTTCGGAGACTCCAAAACTGTAAGCATATCTACAAAATTCCATTCTTTTTGAAACCGATTTGAAGCATATTGGTGCATCAAGATCATCTCTCATGTTTACCTTTTCAAATCAAACAATAAAAGCTTCAAACACGTATTTTTCCAATTTAATAACATGTCAACTTGGTTAATTTGGAAATTACGAGTGAAACTCGATATAACAAAAAGGTCAAAATGGTTAATATGCAAAAAAATACAGAAACTTTTGTTCTTTGATTGGAAAAATGAAGGGATTCGACGTTAAACCACAAAACTTCGGAAAATATAATGATTGTTTTTGTAATTTGTGGTATTTCGTAGTGTAAAAACATAAGAAAAAGAAAATTACGATAGTTCATATGTATTCAAATAAAGACTCATGTGCGCATGTATATCAATCTTGTGAACTTCATGTTTTGTGTAGGTTTCATTGTGTGTAAAAAGACTAGTCTACACCAATGACGCAGGGGAAGAAGTTAAAGGAGTTTGCTCTAACTTCTTATGTGAGAATAAATCTTTAACTTTTTCTTACTAAACTTTATTCTATCTTTTTTTTTCTAAGATGAACAATATTTGATTAACAACAAATCAGGCGACTTGAAGCCTGGAGCAGAAGTACAAATAACAGGTCCAGTTGGAAAAGAAATGCTTATGCCAAAGGATCCTAATGCAACTGTTATAATGGTAGTTTTTGTTTTTCCAATCCTCAATAAGACTTTTCTTTATTCTATTAAAAAAACGTAACATTTAATGATACTTTTCGAATTCAGCTTGCAACAGGAACTGGTATTGCTCCATTTCGATCATTTATGTGGAAAATGTTCTTTGAGAAACACGAAGACTATAAAGTAAAAACTTATCACCTCTCATCACATTGACTAGTAATTATAAATAATTTGACAAAATAAAGTTTTAAACTTGATTCATAATTGCAGTTTAATGGATTGGCATGGCTCTTTTTGGGAGTTCCCACGAGTAGCTCATTGCTATATAAAGAGGTAAAAAACTTGTCATCATTCATTCATCTTTCAAAAACAAGATTGAAAAATCGGATGATTGAGAAAAACGACTCCAAACTTGACCACGTGTTTCTAAAATCTTTTAGGAGTTTGAGAAAATGAAGGAGATGAAACCAGATAACCTAAGAGTTGACTTTGCTGTGAGTAGAGAGCAAACTAATGAGAAAGGTGAAAAGATGTACATTCAAACAAGAATGGCTCAATATGATAGAGAGTTATGGGAGTTACTCAAGAAAGACAACACCTTTGTGTATATGTGTGGGCTTAAGGGTATGGAGAAGGGTATTGATGACATTATGGGTACATTGGCCGCTGAAGATGGTAAATTACCGAAATACCCTCGTTGAATATGTTTTCTTTGTTTCTTGTAATTCATTTTTTTGTGTTTTTTGGTAGGGATTGATTGGGTAACATACAAGAAGCAGTTGAAAAAGGAAGGACAATGGAATGTGGAAGTGTATTAAGTGGTTTTGTTCCTTTTTGTACAAATACAGCCCTCTCTTTGTAGATAGGTAACATTTCGTTTTTGTAATCTGCATATTTGACGACTTCTATTTTTTTTTTTGGTCATATAATTTTATTATAAACCAAGTCTATATTGTCAAGGGATTCCCACCCAAATTTTAGTTTATATTTTTGAGGGCATGGGTTATGAAAGTATAATGCAAGTATGGGAATAACGAATAAGATTCTTGTTATGTTGTGTGTAGCTGTTTTCTTGCCAACTTTTTTCAAATTTATGACTCCATGTGATATGTTTGCAAATGGGAAAAGGATAAAAAGAAATTGAGACATATGATATTGGCTTATATGGTTTCCTTCGTCTAGCTTTGGATGCTTATTTCAAGTGCCTAGAAAGCAACAAGTACAGAAGGATATGGAAGTAATGATGGCGTTATGTGAGAGCATTTGACTTCACCAACGAAAAAAGTGTACTAATGATAACAAATGGTTCTTCATTTGCCACAGTTTGTATGTTATGGTGCATGTGTTTTTAATTCCATTTGTATCCAAGGTCATTCTCTTATATTATATTCAAGATAGGGTCAATCGTTCGAGCCTTCTCTTCCATTTTTGAGCCTTTATGTTGTTCTGCGTACTTTTGATTGTTATTATGGATATGTGTGGCCGGTATCAAGGATGATAGTTGTCATAGAGTTGAAAATAATCTAGGATTAGTAAAGTTTTGAAACAACTAGTAAAGTTGAATTTTTATGGTCAGTAGTTAATAATTATAAACAATATGTTTGGAAATTATACGGTTAAAGCACTTCTTCTAGAGGGCTTATCGTTACGGTTACAATTTTAAAGGATCGCAACTCCATTAAATATTAACCGGATCGCAAAAATCTAGATTTATAGATTTACATGTATCCTGATTAAAAAAATCTTGTTTTCTTTTCTCAACATTCCCCACATGAATAGAAATAGGGTGAAATGCGTAGAAGTTTTGATGAATTATCATTGGTTGAATCTAGCATAGAATATATAGGTATTATCTTTTCTTATTTTTTGTAAATAATATTGAGTCTCTTAGATATCAATAGACGTGATATCTTTAAACTAATGTAATTGTTAGAGATTTTAGTGTTTATCAATATTTTTTGGTGCAATTGTTATTAATAATGAGATATATCGAGCTTCATTTACTAACCGAGCTTGGAGTGTGCAGAGTGCACACTCAATGTGATAATTGTGAACTCAGAAATACGGAGGTCTGGGGTCAGCGTCCCTGTGTGCAAGGTTCCAAGGGGTTGCAACCCATTGGCGGGGTCTAGAGACAGCGCCCCTAGCGAGGTCCAAAGGGCAGAGCCCCTGGCGGTGGTAACTACCACCAATTACTTTCCCCTCTTATATATGAACATACTACATTCGAAAAAACAAATTACGTACAAAACTTACTCTAAGAAATCATAATTATGGTTCTCTTTATCTCCAAAGAACACAAAACAACAAGGTATATTTTTCTGTGTTTCAAATTTAGAAGTTGCCTGATTTCCAAGTTGCATCTCTTGGATTATCCTAAATCAGATTTCGTGATACCTCAGGCATAAGGGTCGAAATCAAAGATTTTAGAAAGTGATTGCAATCACGATCTCAGAAATTATCCAAGTTAATTGTATAAGAACATACCAATGACAGAATCTGTTAAAGACATGACTTTTAAATTTGAGAAGTTGGATAAGTTTGAAAGCACTGATTTTCATCGTTGGCAAAAGAAGATGCATTTCCTTCTCGCTATCCTAAAAGTGGTTCATGTTTTAAGCACTCCTGCATCAGAACCAATGGAGGATGAAACTCTTGAACATACCAATATATATATATATATATATATATATATATATATATATATATATATATATATATATATATATATATATATATGGAAAAATGATAACTACATCTGTTGTGGGCACATTTTAAATGGTATGTCTGACTCTCTCTTTGACATTTATCAAAATCTAGAATTTGTAGAAGGTCTATGAGATACCTTAAATCCAAATACATGGCATAGGATGCATCAAGTAAGAAATTCCTTGTCAATAATTTTAACAATTACAAGATGTTGGATTCAAGGCCTGTCATGGAACATTACAATGAACTCATGAAGAATTTGGGAAATTTGAACAACACAATATGCAAATTAATTAATCCTTTTCCTTCTCAAGTGTTATTGATAAATTTCCCCCATCCTGGAAAGACTTTAAACACACACTGAAACACCAAAAAAAAAACAATTGTCTCTAGTACAACTTGATAGTCCCTTGAGAATTGGAGAGGGTCTTCAGGCTCAAGAAAGTGGCAAGGGAAAAGAAAAGGAAGTTCCTGGATCTTCAGTGAACATGGTGGAAGATGACAAACATCATAAAAATAACAAAGGAAAAAAGGAAGAAGAAAGATGACCATCATAAAGGTTCAAACAAGAAAGCAAAACTTGTATGTTGGAATTGTAACAAACTTGGTCACATTAAACGAGATTGTTGTTTGAAGAAGAACAAGAATGGTACAAGCACTTATGGACAAGGATCTAATGATCAAGGTCCAAAACCATAAGGATAGAATTTGATTTCTGAAATTACTACTACTACTGTTATATATATCATCTAACACTTAAACATGAATCATTCTATGTTCAAGATGATGATCATGCATGGTGGATAGATTCGTGGGCGACATCTTATATGTGTAAAGATCGCTCTTGGTTCAAGGATTATGAAGTAGTTAATGATGGATCGGTGTTGTACATGGGAGTCCATAATAAAGAACCTATTGTGGGCCGTGGTTATATTTGTTTATCTTTTAGTTTTGAAAAAACTCTTCTTCTTAAGAATGTTATTCATGTTCCTAAGATTATAAAGAACTTAGTTTCTAGTGTTTTAATTAATAGATGTGGATATAAACAAGTCTATGAATCTGATAAGTATGTATTAACTAAGTGTGGTATATTTGTTGGGTTTGGATATTATTGTAATGGAATATTTAGGGTGAATGTAAATAATAATAAAGTTACAGATTCTATATACATGACTTGTTCTAGTATTGATGATTCTTCTTTTTTGCATGCTCATTTAGGACATGTACCTTATAAAAGAATTCTTGAAATGTCTTAAAATGGATTAATACCATCTTTTTATGTTAACATAGAAAAATATAAAAATTGTATGTTAACTAAAATAACCAGACAACATTTTCCTAATGTTAAAAGGAATTAGGTTTTTCTTGAATTGTTTCATAGTGATCTATGTGATTTGATCTCAACTCCATCCTTAGGAAATAAGAAATACATAGTTACTTTTATAGATGATTATTCTCGATTTTTCTATGTATACTGTTACATTCCAAGGATGAAGCCCTTGATAAATTCAAAATTTATAAAAATTTAAAACAAAATGATTTAATCAAAAGACTTCACACTAATCGTGGTGGAGAGTATTTGTAACACCCCAAAAATCAAAATAAAATTTTCATTTTTAAAACCCAACCAAAAACCATAATTGTTTACAAAACATTGTTCCCAAAAGTAATAATCACAAATCAGAGTATCCTAAAATCAAATATCATAAACTCAGAAGGATGTGTGTGATCATGCATTTGCTTTCCCCCGATCATCTAAAGTACTTGAACATAAAATTTAAACTATAAGTCAAAGCTTATTGAGTTCCCCCAAAATACCACACACAACTAATACAAATAACATCATGCATATATGAGCCTTCAGCTTGACTAGACCGCCTTGTAGGCCTTCAACCTATCTGGACCACTCTCCTAGCCTTCAGCCAAATTAGACCACCTCGCAAGCCTACAGTTTATCCGGTCCCCCCCCCCCAAGTATCTTGGCCTTCAACACAAACCAGGACCTCTTTAACCCAATAAACCATAACATGTTGACATATATAATAACAATAAATAACCAACAAGTATAGGTAATCATATAGATCTACCAATATAATACATGCTCAGTGAATACATGTAATCATACAGATCTACCAGTGTATCATATAACCAACATAACATCAATCCAATATACCAGGATACAAAATCCAATGGACTGGCATTAATGCCTTCGATCCACAAGTACAAAAAGGAATATTCACCTCACAGTCTGAAAAGATAGTTGAATAGATCACATCTCTAGTTGTTGACTCGAAATCTCACATATTCAAAAAAAAAATAACCTAGTCTCAAACTACTGTTCAAAATACCTAAAATGCCCCTAAGTCAAACTTGGTCAAACCCAAGTCAACATTTAAAGTCAGCAAGTCAAAAAGTCAAGGGAAGGTCAAGTTGGATGAGTACACCCTACGTACTCAACTACTACATTGGGCGTAGTCACATGTCATCCAAAACCGCGAGACTCTAACCCAGTACGTGTAGCGTACCCATTGGTACGCCCAATGTACGTGGTCTGAATCAAAACTTCATATTAATAACTTATTCCTTAAAGACCTCTTGTCCAAACTCAGATTTAGAACCCTAACATCATTCTTAGTCATAAAGTTTCCACATTTATGACTTTCCATGGCTAAACAAGGCCTAAAAGATAAAACCATAACTTAATAATCCATTAAGACATCATGACTCTTGGAAAGAAGGGATATAAGGACCAAGATCTCATTTTTATCGTTCTTCATAGCTCCATAATGGACAAAGTTTCCAACTTTATCCATTACGATGATCCAAAAAACCAAGATCTAGTCTTTAAGTCTTAAAGGGACCAAAAATGCATCTTCTTAACTTAATCCATTAAGTCCAAGTCTCCAACCTTCAGATCTGAACCAATATGATGTTTTGATGGATAAAGTTTTCAACTTTATCCATAACAAGGTCACAAACTTTCAAGATCTAAAATTTATGCACTAAAGTGACCAAAAAGTGACAAATATGAAGATTAACAAGATCTATTAAACTAATGAGCAAGTTTGAAGCTCTTTACTTACAATGGTCCAGAAATGTGTAATCTTGTTGGATATATACTTGAATCCTTCTTCCATACACTTTGACACCACCTTGTTCTTCAATATTCCAGCTTCTAATGGAGAAATAAGTTGATAAATGATGCCAAAACTGTAACATATGTTCCGGGTATTAATGGATTGATTAATTTTAGAGGGGGTTTGGTGCATGGACTCAACAAGTTGGGAGTTCAACTCATCGAGTAGGAGCATTTAATCTTGGACACGGATCCGGACTAACTCGGCGAGTTGCGAGGCCTGACTCGACGAGTAGGAGCTATAAAGAGGAAACCCTAATTTTGGGGATTGCAGCATATATAAGGCTCATAGTCTACCCTTGTGGCCTCCCCTAACACCTTATGATCCCAAATAGAATTGTTTGTGGCCATAATCCCCCTTGAGTGAGAGGAAAAGCTTGGTTTAATAAACTTGGAGTGTTGAAAAAGGGATTTAAAAGAAGTATCAAGAAAGGAAGTAGTGGATCCGACATCTACACTGTATTGGTCACCATTTTAAGTTAAGAAGGAGCAGCGTGCAGGACCTATTTAACTTCATCTCACTAGTTCAGTCTTCGAGAGGTGAGTCTTCTCACCATACCATTGGGTCTAAGGCACCAAGGTTGGCCCTTCTTGTAATAGTTGGGATATTCGTTGTGTTGAGTTGTGTGGCATGATTATGTGGTTATATGTGGTAGAGATAGTCGTTATGGCTATGGTAGAGATAACTTTATAGCTAACCGTAAAGATAGCCTTTATGGCTAATGGTAGAGATAGATTTTATATCTAATGGTAGAGATAGCGTTTATGGCTATGGTAGAGATAGTTTTATAGCTAACAGTAGAGATAGCCTTCATGGCTAATGGTAGACATAGCTTTACGGCTGTTATGATATGTGTTATGTGACTTGTGTGTTAGGGTATGCTCTGGGGAACTCACTAAGCGATAGCTTACAGTTTGTGGATTTGTCTGAGGTACATCGGAGCCCAAGGGCAAGGGCAAAGCTTGATGGTGCGGCATGCACTCTCTTGGGCGTTTTTCACTG